ATTAATACAGAATCAAGCTTAAAGAGTATCGTGCGTTGCTAACATCTTCGGAGAGTCCACGTGTTCTATTCAGAAAATGTCACGTGAAATATTCTCGCTCATTTTTCACCCCATTTTATAAAGCTATCTTAATTCCGGGATGTAAATTCGGGGGAATCCCATCTTTGTTCAAACATCCCAGGAATGAAGATTGCGTGTTAGGGAGATGGGGCAACAAATATGTAGGGCGAACAAAGTGCTAAAGCCCCGGCTAGAGAGAGAGAGACTACACCACCCTCCGCGACAGACATAGCGCAAAATGCGAAACGCAGTCTTGTGACACGCACCTGACCATGCAATGGGCGGCCGACAGAACGAACCTACAGGCGACGTAAGTGCCTCCGCACAAGTGGCTATGGGGTCGGCGCTGCACCGAGACCTAAGAGGAATTGACTTTGAAAAATTCGGATTCGCCGAGTCCGAGTCGAGTCGGTTGCCACCTTAACCCTTACGCCTAGCTCGGACGAATGCCAAGCATATTCGAGACCGCCTGAATCTCAATTTCATGAGTAATTTTCTCTTATTTCTCTGGTGAAAATTGTTCTCAGAATCCTTCACATATAATTTTGCAGAATTTCTACATTATTTTATAAAATTACTTTATTATAGAAAATGTTTCAAATATTTTTACATGAATTAGAATACTTTAAAAAATGTTAAAAAAAGCCTACGTCTTTTCTAGAATTTTTTTATATCGTTTGTAAATTTTATATTATTTTTTATATTATTTGTGAATTCTGAAAATAGTCTAAGATTTTTCTTTCTATGATTTCCAAAGAAAATATAATGTGTAAAATATGAAGTTTAAAGTATTTTTCAGAAATCTTCATAAATTTAAAATTCTTGAAAATATTATTAGGTGTTGGAATTAATTCGTAGCGTTTTTAATGAAAGAATGTTATTTATTTCACATGAGCATTAAAAAATACATTAATGAAAGTACTTCCCATCACTTGTAAAACGCTACGAATTAATTCCAACACCTAATATAAAAATGAAAATATGAAATGAAATATGAGATTTTTATTAGAGGTTTTCATCTTTTTTATACATGTTTACTCTCAATTTGTTAAGTCGTGTTAAATCTGTAAGAAAGACGTTTCGTAAAATCTTATTCAAAGATACGTTTCAAATTATATCTGTCCTATTAAAACTTTGAATATAATAACATACAACTTTCTATACAGCATCAATTAAGATAACGCTTAACTATTTGGATTTTGGAAATTGAGATTTCTGGCTGTGTCTCGAAAGCATTCAAAGTTAGATCACAATATATATGTACTGTGGTTAGATTGACACGAGCAGTTAAAGTGCATCAGTATACCGTCAGTACATATCACACAAACGAGAAATTAGAAGTGCCGAAATTGCACGATATAATCTACAGCTTGTGTGTTTCGTTAATAAAACCGATATCTCTGATTCAAATTGGTCCTACACGTGAATACACTCAAAGCGTAAACTGCAAGATACGTCAGTTAAAACTTCATTTCATCACATCATCGTCAAACGATTTTACTCTGTACTACCGGTTAGAAATTGAAACAGTTTCATTTCACGAAAGAGCGTTAAAAGACTTTATAGGTCGTTCTCTCTGTTCGCGTTGAATCGCTAAACATTTCGCTCTGTCAACTTTCAGTGTTGATAAAACCATCCCCGACCTCGCAGAGTACACTTCGCGTTACTTCCACGTCATTGACGTCAGAGTCGTCATACTACACATCCGTGGAGGTGTGGGTGACGGTACCGATGTTCTTCGCAAAGGTGAAAGGTTAAGGGGCTTGTGTGCGTGAGAGAAATGGGCGCGTCGCACGCATACGCTAAATGGATAATTCTTGATGTTGGTGATCTCCCCGCCGACGATGCGCACCACCGGCTTATCAACCGCAGACTCCCACGGCGTCGCGGTTGTTTCGACACCGGTCACCAGGGAAATCGGGCAGAGATACGGTATTAGGACCAAAACCGCGAAGAATATCATGGCTCGCGTGCGAGCTGCTGTAAAGGCTTAGCGGGATCCTCCATTTTCTGTGCCACGCTCCGTCGACTTTTGTTTTTCTGCTAATTTATATCAGACTCGCTCTTCCTAGTCGTGCACCTTCTTACTTTTCCTCGAGCTAAATATAAATAAATTATCGTTGCGTTTTCAAGAAGCATAGCTAGCCGCTGCTAGGAGCGCCAGTGGCAATGAAATCGTAATACATCTTGTAAAAGATGAAAGTGGAATCTTATGTATGTATAATGAATGTATCGACGTGAAGTTTTCCAATGTATTGACGTAAAGTTCTCCATTGGCAAATATACTGACGTGAAGTTCTCCAATATAATTTTTTCCATCATAACCAATGTAATTTTTTTTTTTTTTACATCATGATCTTCTCCATCCTTCTCCTTCCCTTACAAACTTCACAATCAATTTTGTATATTGAAGGTGCAGCTAGAAATAGCAAATCTGTATAAATTTGCAATATAATCAATTTTTTTCGAGCTTTCGACATGCTAGAGTGAACGCTGAAACGACTAAAGATAACTTTATTAAAGAGTGAGATCGTTAAAAAAGACGACTTCTTTTCTATATTAATTGTCAGTGATTGCGATTTTGCTTTCCGAGCAAAAGCATGTCGCCTAGCAGACTAAGATCTGCCTGAGATATTTTCTAATTTGCGGATATATGAAAAGGCACTTCTCAATTAAAATATCATTACTAAGCTTTCAAACTTCGCTTAGACGACCGATGCCTTATACGTCTTACAAGTACAATAAAAATTAAAAAGTAGTATATTTATTGCAAGTTTGAAAGCATGTAAGAATTTGCACGCGATTGGAATAATCTCGATTTTAGCAAATAGTCGCACAATCTGAAATATATGCATAAAAATTCATTAATCATAAATATATTCTTTACTTCTATAAAGCACTACATAGTCAATGTTTGTTCCCTAACGTTTCCACTTTCCTCTAACTATGATAATAAATTTATCGTTTAGTAATTTGCCGCTTTTTAATCTTTATATTTAATTGTAACTGAATTCGATCGCGCGTGAGTACCTCTAGTTTGTAACGTTAGCTACAGACTTACGTTCGTAAGATTCGATCTGTGAAGCTATCAAAACTTTTTTAGTTAGATTAGTCGTCTAACTGGAGACGATGATACGTTTCCCTCTGATTATCCTAATGATCAAGATTAGATTAATACTCTAAAGCCTCGGAAAGCATCGTTAGCGTTCACTCTAACGTAAACGTTCTTCGTCATAATCCTTTTAATATTCCAAAGTACCGCCAGCTCAGGTAAGTCATACTAACATACTCTTACGCTGTAGCCAATATGGCTGTTTAAAGTTGCTGGTATTTAGTACGAGTGCCGACAGCAAAGAGAGAGGGAGAGAGGATTATGATTTTTTAACGAGGAGGTGTGTCAATACACAGATAAGAGATAATCCCAAGCGTTTGGTTGTTTGGTGATAGTATCGGCATCAAGAGTTTTAAATCCTGTTAAAAACCACGTCGTATCGACGGGTAACGCGCCCAATAGTGTTCCAAAAAGTTTGGCCACAAGCACGGCCGTAATCGCTATTTCTACAGACGGTTGAGTCAGAGCTTGATCGAATCAGTTCGCCCGCAGTCTTTCGATCGACCTCAATAAGATCGAACGCACTATCTCTCGAAAATTACGAAGAGATAAGTATATAATCACAAGATCTGATTGTACATTGATTGTAGATTCAAGCAAAGAAATTGTGCTTTATTGTTTAATAATTATGTGTTATAGATCAGGTATTATTGATCAAACTCTGACTCGAGTATCTCTAGTTATCGCTAGTTTCTCGCAGTTCTCTAAATGCCTAGCCGCTGTCGCGGTGTTTTTTAAGCTTGCCTCTTTAAAATACGTTGAAGGAAGTCGTAATGTAATACTGATTGTGAGTTGTACATCCCGTTTCATCGATATCCCTCGAGTTAGTTATAGCGCGTGAAGTATAGATGAAGAATCGAAAACAAAAATGGCCTAAGTGAGCGATCTTGTGGTGTACTCGTTTATATTTATGTAATTTATTAAAATGATAATTTAAATTAGAAGACAGTCTGATACTTCAATGTGTTCATGAAATATTTCAATATACGTGCAAAGATCCGAGCACCTTATAAGTCATCGTATTTTTGACTTACGCCATTCTTGCTTTAAATTTCTCTTGAATATATTTCCTACGGAGCGCTAAGCTCCGAATTACGGTGAAATGACGGTGAATGTTTGCTATAGTATCTATGTCCTATTATACGCGGATAAGTTGTCACTTCTCTAGATTATTGTCGGAAAATTGATCTCATCGCTGTGTGTTATTACGAAACATCATGAAACGGGGCGTAATATAATATCAAATTTAAATTATAAAAAAGATAATTTTATATCTACTGCGAATTAAATAAAAACCATCTTTCTTTTTTTAATCAAGATTCTAATGGCTTGAACGATATATGGAAATATTGTAGAAAGAGCAAAATCTGTTAATGGAAAACTGCTATTAAAATCAGATATCCCCAAAGGGAAAAGTCTATTAAATCAATTCGACTGATATTAAAGTGTTTTTTATTCGAATACGAGTTTTTTTGTATAGCTTTTATAGAAATGTGCGCGCAGTAACAAGAATGTATTGCTAGCTTAAAAAACATTTTATTTCCCCAGCGGCGAGGCGAGACTAGATGAAATGTTATATTAACGCGTATCGGAAAACCATATCATTTTTTAAAATAAAATATAAATTACAGTTTGTAATGTATACATCATATGATATCTCGATAACATTTTAATATATAGATCAAATTTTTATATAGTTAACAATAAAGCTATGTACGTTTTACTTTAAACCGTAATAAACTCTGTTTTTTTTTTTCAAAGATACGTTAACTAATTCAACAATACAAATATATACATATGTTCTGCTATAGAACAAAAATATCTTTGTGTAACTCGATTTTTTTTCTTTTCTAATTTAACTTTCAGATAATAATTTTCAAAATCCTATTATATGCACTCTATGATAAGTATATTCGAATAGTATTGAAGGAAGAGACATAGCTTTCCGACACACCTTGCCGAATGTTCGGACATTAAATTGTTTCTCATGATAATGGGATTGATATGTTTCGCGAGACAGACGACGCTCGTTTTATAAGCAATAATCGAAAATAGTTTGCGCACGAAGAAGCCGCGTCTATGAGTTTACAAAATTTCTGCAAAGACAATAAAACCGCTGCCCCCGTGTATTTCGATATATCGAAGGAAGACATTGTGATTGTTCGATCTTATGTTCATCGCCTTAACATCCTTACAATTAGATATGTTACAGCCGAATTATCCTAGAACAATTGACTTTTATTAAGGAATAAACTCGTGCATTGCGCTCAATATGCACAGTATTGTAGGTAGCGTGAGTTCTCGTATGAGAATCGCCGCGGAAGACGTCACATCCGGCGCTGGTATGATTTGCACTGAAACAAGTCGCACGGTACAAACATCGGGACTTTTACTTTTGTTATTGATAAATTGGTAAGAATAAAAACAAATATGAAAGCCCCCTGAGGCTTATAGAAGGCAAAAACATGTGGAAAGGTATAAAGTCCCGGAGAGCAGTCAGTTTTTCGCAGTAAAAATATATGTTTTTTTTATTTCCGATGTTTTTAAATAAAATAATCCGTATCTATCTTTATCTATCACTCTGTTTTCGACATCATACATGTATTCAGTGGTTAAAAGTTGTTACTATTAGCAAATTTGATTGGACGCACTCAGTGTGCATTGGTGTACATTAAAGCCACCGTATACAAAATAACGTAAAAAAGATATGTTTTTATGTTTATACACAAACATAGAAATCGATTAAATCCTGAAATACATTTTATTGTACTATTAGGTAAAATATGTATTTTATAATTCGAAATATTTGCATTTTATACTCAAATTAAATCGATGTACAATGGCTTTAATATGCACCAGTGCGCACTAATATTTTCGATCGAATTCGCCATATGTTATGTTCACTTCTCTACCTATATGTTATACATACGAAAAAGAGTTTAATATCTTATGAAAAAACTTACCCGACACCGTCTTTTTTTTAATATCGGCAAATTGCTCGTGATGCATGGGAAATGCAGGTATTGTTGCCTGACAGCTGATCTCAAGCTGCCCATTTTGGCCAGCGTGCAACGCGGAAACCTCCACCTTCAGTTTAGCAGTAGCGAACATCAGATTGTTTTTATGATATGTATGCGGATAGTGTGTCACTAGAGCAATATCCACCTGGTGAAATCGATAATCAGAAAATTATAATCGGGCGAATATCGAATCGAAGGGATATATTTCCAAAGCTATTTACAAATTTAATTGCTCATAATTATGTGTAAGTTCGAGTAAATTATAAAAGCATGTTTTTGTAATATGAAAATATTATTATAAAAAAATATAATTCTCTCCTTCAAGTAATTTTCAAGGAACTTTGTCAAAAATGATTATAATAAAACAACCCAAAAAGTATTTCAAAGAAATTTCTGCTTTTCAAATCGGTAGTTTAGATAACGATATGATTGATCTTTTACGAAGCTACACGGATAAGTGGACATCAATTTCAAAGTTTTTACGAACTTTACAAAGTTCCATGGCGTGAATTAAAATCGCACGTGAAAGCAGTTTATAATCTTTGCAAGAGTGAATCATTATTTTTAATTTGCATATTTATTAAGTGTTGTACGGTCTTTTTTCACCGAGTAATTTAACACAGAAGCAGAAAGCGTCTTTTTTACTTTGGCTGCTTGCAGAAGATGAACAGAATAGCGCTTGATAGCCTTTAAAAAACGAATAGAAAGGTTTAAGCTTTCTCTTTGAGATGCACTTATCATTTTTTTTTCGATATAAAAAAACTTTCCGTATGTAAATGACGCTTAAATGAGACTCCTAAAATTAAACAATTAACATATATTATCATTCACTTGGTATATCCCGAGAAACTAAAAATACTATGATCTTAACGTAATTTATCTTCTTTGTATTCGAAATAATCACGTTAGGAAAAACAACGTTCTATTGCTGCAGATCCGTCGCGTATTGTGTGGAGGTTGCACCAGTTGCACGGTCGGATTTATGGTTCTTTATATATGTTATGTATACAGCGTATATACATGACATAGGTGCACTTTAAAAAGAAAATTTGGACCCTCTTCTCTCTCTCTCTCTCTCTTTTATTCGTTTTTTACAGAATACCGAGTGCTACTTCGTCTTCCGTGAGCAATCAAAAAGCTTTGTAAAGTTCGTAACAATTTTGAGATTCGACAAAGGATCGCACAAAACATACAGAAAATGGATCCTGGCTAATTTGGCTGAATTTGTAACATGTTGTAGTTCTGATCGTCCTGATCAAAAGTCTTTATCTATTTATTCTTAAAATAAAATAAGAATAAATAGAAAAACCAGCGATTTTTTGTCAGAGTTTGATGTACCATAATTCAAAAACTGTTCATTATTTTACTTCGTGCCGATGGAGATTTTTGATCAGAACAATTTGATCAGAACTACATGTTTCGTGCGAGGTCCTTTCCATTTGTGTATCTATATGTAGCTCCATAAAAAAATCAATTAAATAGTTATCTGAACTACCGATCTATAAAGACTTCAAGTTTTAAAACGCTTTTTGGATCATCTCTATGATTATTTTTGACGCTACCATCTTTAAAAAAATGTCTATTTTTGGAGAGTAGATAGGTGATAAATTTATAATTTTTTGTGATATTAATTCTATTGGGTTAAAATGTTCAAGTATCGTAAGAATAAAAAGCGATCAAAAGTATACGTATAAATTCTTTAATAACAGTGTATCACTTGTAATTGTTAAATCGTCAAATAGATATTCTTTCTATCGAACTTGTTAAAATCAAAGTTATATTTCAATCTTTGTTGTTTTTTACCTCTTCGCCGTTTATGAACCACGTTATATAAGGAACTGGACGTGCGGGCGAGGATGAACAATTTGCCTCCAAGCTTTCGCCTACTACATATACACTCTTCTCGAACGTAATTCTAGGATTCTCAGATTGTGGAACTAAAAAATATTATTAAAAATATATCGAAGATATGCGGAGATGGCATTTAAAAATCTATGTTAATTTATGATCAGTTAAAATGTAGATCTTGACATTTATTCAATCTGAGAAACGTCAATATCTAATAACAATTTTCATATCAAATTATTGTTTCGATTAAATCAATACTGATATTTTAGCACCTAAATGAGGCTGCTCAAATTAATATAATTCAATACGATAAAACGACTAATGCCATTAGTAAGGAGATATTTCTATTCTTGTGTATAAAGTCGACAATATCACTCACATATCACTTTCATATGTACGGGATCAGCGCCAGCAGTATAAATGGGAGTTGTCATAGTGACTTCACAGGAATAAATACCGGAAGCTTCGTAACGCACATTGTGCAATTTGATTGTCGTGCCATTCTTTGAAAACTGGAAAAGATTAGCAATGTTAATAAGGATTATAACACATTGTGGTCAAGTGGACAGTACGTCGTTTTAATCAAATTACATTCCATACCTATGTAAAAGAACACAAGTAATAAATACTGCATAAACAATTCGAGTGTGCGTACAAAATTGCATGAAAATTAATTTTTCTCTCAGAGCATGATTATTTTTATATTTACAATCTCTTTTGTACTTTGTAAGCTTAGTTATTAAATAAAGAAGAGTTTCGTTTTGCACAAGAGAAAATGGAATGCCTTTGTATCGCAGTGTCTTTTTTTTAAACGAGTCATTCCTTTGCTTTTAAATATGTTGAATTTGATAATGAAGTGAGTGAAAATTATTTTTAAATGAAAGTTCAAGAGTGTACTTCTACCGACTAGCTTTACCAGGATTTATCATTTGTATTCCTTTCATCTAGTCATTTCAATTATATCGAGTGGATGCACGAGCAAGGTGAAATGCTTTGAAAATACAAAACAGAACACTTTAGATAATGTGATTCAAAGTTCTAGCATAATTGTTTTGCCACTTTTGGTCCTATTACACTTAGATATCATATCTATCGCAAATATTTCGCTTTAAGGCTCCTAAGTAGTCGCGGCGGCCATGTTGGAATCGTGATGTCAGAAACGTGGAATAACACGTTAATTTATGCTGCAAGTCATTTGTAAATAAAGACAATTTGGATAAATCTAAATGAGATTGCTTTAAAATACTTGTAAAAATAGGCAGAAACTGTCCTTTTCTTCCTTTAATAGTCGTAAAAAGCAAGTAAAATGAGCCTAATTTTAGGCAGAAACACACAGTTTGAACAGCTGTTGAAATGAATGAAATATACGCTTTTACGTATAAAATTCCAGTATAACTATGGTTTTTAGGATTTTCATAAGTACAAGACATACTTTCGCAATTAAGCAAATAATAATGAAATAGCACGCAGCACAAATTTCGTCCTCAAAACGTTTTCCATGCCTATGAGTTCAACCATTTATCGTGACGAGGTCTGTAACACACACACACATACACAAGCACGAGCCCATATACATGTCGAGAGCACATGTATGTACATAAGCTCGTGCTTATGTGTGTGGCTACCAATTTCGCCACATTTCGCCAGGGCGCCGACTGATTTTGAATCGCATGCTGACTCAGAAGTCTTAAAGTACACGATTAATCTCTATTTGGATGTGTTGAGGTGATAAACACCTAAATTATAGAAAAAAATCCTTTTCCTGTAATCAGATTAACAAGATAGAAATTTGAAAAGTTCAAGCTATTCATTATCACGATCTCTTTATCCCATTATTATCATTTTTTTTTTAAATCATAGTATTCCTGAGGCTGGTAGTTCTATTGCATTAACTCAATTTTGTTATTAGTAGCTTAGATCTAATCATTCTTAACGCCCCATTTGTTACGCGTATCTTTACCTACATCTTTCATGACGTACTGTAATAACTTTAAGATATCTCGGAATTATATATAACGCTGTGTGGAACAGTTGCATATTCTTCGTTATCAACAACAGAATTCTAATAGTAACGATGAAATATAGTCTCATCGAGTAAGTTTTCAAAAGTTTCTATAGAAAACTAAAGTAGGAAGTGAGAAAAGGAGACGATAAAGGTATATCCTAAAAAAGGCAGATATTTATAAAAGAAGAAGAATTGTCGCGCGCGTGCAATCTCGATCGATTTTTTTCCCGCGAGGATAAAATGGATGAAAATGCCAAGTGCAGGAAAGTTCTTCAGCGCAAAGAAAGAGCGGAAAGTGTTTTCGACACTTAACAATCGTTCGTCATCAGCGGCCTGAAAACCCTCCGGCCGAATGAACGTTCTATTTCTGCCACGTGTAGCCTCATTATTAATGTGTTGACTCTACATACTGGCAAAAGCGCTCATCCTCGTATGTTAAGGTATCACATATGGATTAGTACAAGTATTGGTTTTTCATCTTATTTCTTTTTTAATAGATCACCCATCTGCTGCGCGCTCCCATCGAAAACATTCACGAAGGAAATTGCGCTGCCACGCGTTACTACTCGATGTCCTCGAGGGGATAGGGAGAGTATTTTACGTAACGGAGTATATGTATGTACGTAAATAGCTTTGCTTTGTGTCGATACATAAAAGACTGTGCCTTAGGTAAATGCGTTTAGCTTTGCTCGCTTAATCATTGGCAAAAGACAGGAGCGGACTCCGGATATTCAGCTTATACGCTATCGAGGGCGTCCTCGTTATTTTTGGATTTTTGTTTACTACGGTTTTTTCTTATAGAACGTATCACGAGATGTGCGGGATAGGTATATACAGACCAAGTTGTATTTTTACCTGTCCACGTAATAATGTCGACAGGTTAAAAAAAAAAAGAGACATTTATTATTTCCTTACATAAACAGGTGCGTGATGTAACGGTAAGTGAAGTGAAAAGCTTATAATAAAAAATAAATATTTGTTGCGAAGACACACGCATACATAAATAGATAATACTTGAGAAATTAAAAAAAACGAATACTAATTTGATGCATAAACTTTGTTCGTAAAAGAAAAGATTATTATATGTTTCCAAGATTCTGAATCTTACAGTAAAATTTTGATAAAGATGAAATGAAACAATAAATATATATATGTGTAAATATTTACTTAAAACATTGAAAAACAGAAATCTAAAATTGCACTATGCATGCAACATTTTATATATATATAGGGTGTCTCTTAAGATGGGTCGGGGTCACATTGGGGGAGGAGAATGGATCAAAAGGAAATAGTATAAGAATTTTTTATTCCCTTTGATCCATTCTCCGTCCCCAATGTGGCCCCGACCCATCTTAAGAGACCACCCTGTATATGGATTTAAGACTCTGAAAAGTTGAAATATTTCTAAGTTTTATGAGATAAATATGTTGAGACATTGCATATGTTGAATTAAAATCATTTTGCAATGCAAAACGTGGAATTGATGAAATTTCAACAAAAGCAGCTACTCAATTTATTTTTTAATACACTTTCTGTCTAGACGTGCTTGACTTCCGTTACAGAGATAGAAATTCAATTAATATTCGAAGATTTAAAGATAACAATATAGACGTGGATATATATAATTGTAGATAGATTGAGATGCAAAGGTCGATGCCATCATTACCATCAGTCTCAGCCGTGTAAATTCGACACAAATTTATGTAGACGTGTTATCGAACCTGCATGTCATGTTGCGGCACGACTGCGATGCCTTTGAGATAATTATGTACATCAAAGCGAAAGTCATAGTGTATATACGTATCAGGGTAAAGCGACATTCAAAATTTATGAGCTGTCAAGAATCGAATAAACTAGGTTTAAAGTTAATTGATGAAGTCAATCGTTGTCTCTTCCTCTTATTCATTCTGTTGGAACCCAACAGTTGGGTACGCTCGATAATTCGACTAATAGTAAATATAACGAAACAACAAAAGAACAAATTAAAAAGATACAAAAAATAATTAACAGGAAATACATTTTGTGAAATCTCCTTGTTGCTCTATTTCGCTCACCTCCATTTTGGCGCCGTCGATATATACGGATTTGTCCGGGATGTACGGCGGATTCCTCTCCTTAATGTACTGAAATATCCTCTTCTCGCCCTTCATAAATTCTATTTTGTGCAGCAAGTCGTCCGCGACAGTGTGATTGCACAGCAAGATGGCTGTGCTGCCATGCGTTATATACTGCGGCGCTATCAATTGCACGTTCATGTGATCCGCCAGTGTCGCGTCTGGAAATCGTGAAATCACCGTACGTATATACTACCGTGTATATTACCTCAATTCTGGCGACCGAATGGCCATGGACATTATCTACAATGTCCAACGTGAGCGGTATTAATTCTACTATTAGATGGTACTCGTGGAAATTGCGGGGCGCGATTAAGGGATGATTTTACGAGGTTTTTTAACGAACGTGAGTCGCAAAAAAATCCGAAAATACTGAAAGTTAAAAGTTTCGAGGTATTTAATAGGAAATTGAGAGAAAATATCACATTACGTAAAATATATTGTATTTCCAAATATATTTCAACAAAAGTTAACAGGATTCTCAATTAAAAAAAAAACAATATTTAAAAAAAAAGAAAACTGAAGAATGAGAATCGGACGCGAATTTCAGTGCGTAATATAACAAAATAACAAAATTAAGTAAACGTAAGTTGATTAGACGTTTTAGCTTAATTTTCAGCCATCTTCAACAAGTTAACAAATATTTGGAGATAGCCTTATGCTCGCTTCATAAGACATAACGCAATCCATCCTGAATGTCAAAAATGAATATGTCGGTCACCGATTGATAAGCCGGATGATTAATGGATTCAAACAACAGCCAAGTGAAATAGAGAACGGGAGATTAAATTGATGCAAATAAATTGATTGCGTTACGTGGGGGGAGTGAGATTATCTACAAATATTAAGATATCTTGCTGAAGATAGTTAAAAATTAAGCCGAAATATCCCAACATTAAACTTAAAATACTTAAAATAAATTTGTTTAATAATTTACATTATGCACTGAAATCTGCGTCTGACTTTCATCAGCCTTTTTTTTAAATTACTGTTTTTCAAATATATATTTTCCTATATTTTTAGACGTATCTCTATCGATAGCATATTTAAAATCGAATTTTGTAAATTTAGTCATCCATTTAGTCATCCAGATATTCTTACCTTTCACCGTAGTTTAAAATGGATCGTCATTATATATTTATAACATTTTGTGGACTAAAAAGTACGTACTTTGCAAATAATTCAGATATTCATTTTTTAAAGTAATTCTTCTTCTAATTATTGCATTTCAAATATATTTCTTCATTTTAACATTTTATACCTGTATATATGAAAAACTTAACTTTATATTTTCGTATGTTTGTAATTTTATATTATAAAACCGATCAATTTTACGTTCCAGATATTTCCATGTTTTATCATCATTATATATTTATCGTTTGTTATACATTTATTTTGTAGACTAAAAGCTACGATATTTTGCGAGCACATTTAGATACGAAAGATTATTGTTTAATAAAGAATAAAGTGAGACTTTGAAACCGTAAAACTGCTGCTTGATGCTTCCCATATATTCTATGCCATAGTTTATGTGATATTCATTTAGAATTGAATTCGTTGGGGGTTAACTTCGAGGGGTGTCGTAACCTACAAACCTAGATAGGGTCACGTATAGGGTGTCTTTCCGTGCACGTAATTCTAAATCTCTTCTTGGGACCATATATTCTGTTGAAATAAAATTTATCTGCAATTTACTGTGAAGAATAAGGTTCATTTTTGGCTATTTATGAAATTTCTTTATAAAAATTCCTGTGTTTGAATTTTTTTTATAATTGTCAGCTTTCTATTTTAACATTTTTCCAGCGATAAATATGAACTCCGAATTGCTCGTAGGACTTATAAAACAAAATGACATATTCCTTCTATAGAAACAAATACGCGTCTCTTGTTTACCTTATTATGTACATTCAAAGCTCTATTTTATATCAAATAAAATATAATATAATAATAACAGAGAGATTCAGAGAGAAAGAGAAGGAAAGAGAGAGAAAGATAGAGAGAGAGGAGAGCAGTTTGATATTTCGATTAAACGCTGTCAAGACCAACAATCATGTTCCATTCGATTTTCATCGAACTGACACCGACATGACAACGAGTCGACGGAGAACAGATTAATCTAGCTATTGCCAGGAATTGGAAGAACGGAGGGCCTTCGAGCGGTCGACTGTAACTACTTGTGGCAGTCCGCCCTGTTGCTGGGAGGTGTTACTGTATCGATCAGAATGAAAGCGCGCGTTACCGCCGCACGCATGGTATATTATTATTTCGAGACGTTTCGAGACAAGAGGCCTATTTTCGAGGTCGATCGTACGATGGATAATGCTAATACCACGCGATTTTCTACGCGTTTGTCCTGTAATATTTCAACGAGCGCTTAAAGCCGAACAATCAACTATGTTACGTTCTTCGTAATTAGAATCGACCGATTTTTTTGCGACATCACATTGACTGGAACAGTGGTATAATCGCAGAAAATAGATGATTGATTTTAGGATCTATATGTATCTATAAATGCATATTTTTACTTGGAGACAATATTTTTCTTTTTACATACTTTTAGTTTGACATAATAAAATGATAATTTCTTTACGATATTTCTGTTTATAAAGTAATTGATTTTTATATTAAGAATTCTCAAAGTAGCTTTTTCCTATCTATTTTTATATAAAACAAGAAAAATACTTGTATCAAATCGTTTGTATAGAAGAAATCGAATGCTTTATGTCAAAGATGAAAAATAATTAAAAACAATAAGAAATCTTTTTAAAGCTTTCCTTTCATAGGAAATAAATATAACGCTTTGATTTTTAAAAATATACGCAATAATATATCTTATTCCTTTTAATATGAATATTTTTATAAGTACTACGAGAAAGAGTTTTGAGATTGTTCAATTCGTAATATCTAAAACCGACACTTGGTTTCTCTTATGTAAATAACGTGCAATTAGGGTGAATATAATTGGATCGATAAATAGTCGAATAATTGGTTTCTGCAACAATGGCTTTTAAACTCGAGTTATGTGCGAATGAACCGAAAAAGTGATCGTATTTTTAGTCGTTAGATTAAACAGATTCAGTAACCTTTTTGATTTTAATTCGATTTTAATTTTCATTTAACGCTATATATTTTCATCTACTTATAATTAGTGTAAACCAAAAAAGAATATTAATTTGCATATATTTCTTGCTCTATATTACATTAGATCCGTCAGAATTTATTTTTGAACTTTTTATATTTAATTAGAATGCAATAGAAAACAAATATTTGTTTCTATCTCGAATGTAATATGAAAAATTTCTTGATTTCTTTACGTAATAAAATATTCATAGTTCAATTTCACATTTAACATTAAAACTGTTGACAAATAAATGTTTATCAATTAATTATTATTATATATTTAATTTATCTCTTTTGACAAAAAGAGTTTTGAAAAAAAGTAAATTAATCAATTCAATCATTCATTTGTTGTAACAAAATTCATGGAATATTTCTGGATATACATCGTTATAAACTTGTTAATTTTTTAAAAATTATAAATCAGTTGAATTGTTTTGTTAGTTCTAAAAAGAATGTCTTACATTCGGTCTTGAGATGTCATATGATTATTTCATTAGCTGGATGAAGTTTTGATATGACCTAAGATTCAAGACAATCTTAAATTAAGATCAGATTATGAATACCATCAATAATTTTGCAATCTAATGTCTGTATGATTCATATAAATTTATGTATTTAATATACATTTAAATAACTTTATATGTTATTCTCTACTCTCTTTCTCTCTCTCTCTCTCTCTCTCTCTCTCTCTATATATATAT